ATTAATGTTAGTAGTAAAAAAAATTCTATATATACCTCGGCTGAGAAAGCTATTATTTACCGGTAAATAATAGCTCACTTCTCACCCTAGGTATATAATGTACTATTTTTGCAAGATTTATAAAATAGTAATTTTTATTTTATCAGTGTTAACTATTTCATTATTAACACGTTGATGGACAGTAGGAAAAAGTGGTCGGTGCCGAAAATGACATTGATACTTTTGTGCAAATTAGGGCTCAGATTGCCTTATTAAGTATAGCAAATTGCTCAAAATTTGAAAAAAGTTAAAATTTTTGAGTTACAGCCGATAAACGTCCGGCCACATTTAAAAAGAAAAAATTGCTTTGACTTCGATAGAAGTATTGTTAAAAAGTTTATATAAATCAGGGGCGTATCCAAAAGGGAGCGAGCGCCCCCCTCCGAATCCTTAAAATTTTAAGGTAGATATTTTTATGATTCTCTAAAATACTTTTTTATTTAATATATTGGCAAATATAATAAAATATGTCGAAATAGGGAACTCCCTCTCCCTTCTCTAGCTATGCCACTGAATAAAGCAACAAGGATCTAAGAAACATTGTTTTTTTTTTAATAAGAGCTCAAACAAAGGGTAAAAACACATATACAAAAAACACGAGGAGGATGTCAGGTTTAACAAAAATTGTGATCCTATAAAAACGGCGGTATTATATTGTAATCGGTCTTAAATGTCCCCTTCGCATTTTTTATGGGACGATAGACGTTTCCTCGTTTATCAGCAATATTAATTTGAACGCCGGAAGGCGTCCTGCCACATTTGGCATGTCAGGAAAGTCGCCGATCGGCGTCACTGTCCATCAACGTGTTAAGCTATTGTATAGATTTTATCGCGGGCTTTGAGCGCGGCGACCGAATCAAGAAATTCCGTAACGAAAATAAACCTAACACCCCCCACTCCGACCGGCACAGCGGTGCGGCGTTAAAAGCCGTGCATCGTCTAACGTCGTTTCATTTCGGCAGACTTCGGCACGGTGTTTGTGTGAAACAATTTCGGAAAAATTGAATTTGAAAATGAATAATGATCCACTAGAATCCACAACAAAATATGGGACCACCATTGACGCGGTATTTTCCAGATATTTAGAGGATACCAAGTCTCAAACTTATGTTTCTTATTTCAGTTTCCATAAACCTATAGTTTCAATGATAAAAATTCCTGAATAACCTACATGTATTGTAAGATAATAAAAATATTTTAAACAATGTTAACTTCTCATTTATTCAATAAAAGAAAAAAATTTGTTTTCTTATCGGTGACCACGCTCAAAAAGTGTAACTTGAATTAATATCAAAGAAAAAACTTGAATTAATATCAAAGAAAAAAAATACTGCATAAATAAAATAAATAAATAATTATAATTGCATAAGTTGATAAAAAATGCTATGCAATAGCTTTACCGCGGCAGTCCCCGAGTGCCACACGTTTTTTTTTTTACTTTTTCATTCCATTTAAGTTATATTATGCTATGCATATGTATCTATTGTACAATTTTTTTGTCGAAATACCATTTTTGTTAAATTTAAAATGACGTCTGCAGTTGGGTTCTTTTCTTTGAATCCATATTGTTTATTCGACAAAAGATTGTATCTATTTATGAATGATGATAGCCTATTTTTTATAAGTTTTTCAAAAACTTTAGCCAGATGACTAATCAATGATATTGGTTTATAATTACCAACAGATGTTTTATCTCCATTTTTATAAACAGGTACTACAATAGAGCTTTTGAATGCATCAGGCCATATTCCCTTTTCTACACAAATCTAGTTGTGTTTAGACAGTTAATGAGACAAGATCGATCAGTTTTCGGTGACATAAATCAAAATGTACCAGTTTTATTAAGAATAAACTAAGTAAAAATATTATTTTTTATAATGACATAACTCAAATTAAGACATTATTGTTGAAATTATACATCCTCCATAAACCAGTAACATATTTTTGAAGTACAATAATAGTGACACAACTCAAATTAAAACATTGTTGAAAAGATACATTTTCCAATAAACCAGTAACATATTTAAGAAGTACAAGATTAGTGACATAACTCAAAAAATAGTTTTCAAGCTTATTGTGAAAGTGCACCAAAATCTGTATATTTTTATGTTGAAAAACGATATATTGCTACTTCCAAAATGACCACTATAAAGCAGTTGTGTCGTTCTTCCAGTACTACATAGTTACGAATTTATGAAGAAGACACAAATCTAGTTGTGCTCCGATAATTAATAAGACAAGATTTGTCATTTTTCGAAGACATAAATCAAAATATGCCAGTTTAGGAATAAACTAAGTGAAAACATTTTCAGCAGTGACGCAACTGAAATTAAGACATTATTGTTGAAAAGATACATTCTCCATAAATAAGTAACATATTTTTGTAGTGCAAGAATAATGACACACCTCAAAAATTTACATTTTTGCGCTTATTGTTACTGCTGCAAAGCGGGTGTATCGTTCTTTTATAATGATGAATAGTGACTTAAGTCTAGTTCTCTTTTGACAGTTAATAGAAAATAGCCTCAATTTTTGGTTATAGTGAATTAAATCAAAATATGTCAATTTCATTTAAAATAAACTAAGATAATTATTTTTTCAACAGTGACACAAGTCAAATTAGGAATTATTGTTGAAAGTCATCAATATCGTGTGAACTATACTTTTTTGGAATATCGGCATAACTCAAAAGAGAGATGAAGATATATTTTAGGGTTTTTCTTGATGGTATCAAGCAATACTGGAATACTGGTTAAAATAAATTACTTATTTCCGGAACACCTTATTTATGCCTCATAATGGTTTTCCAATGTCCAAGGGACTACCTGTAAAATTTACGATAAAAATATCAACCCTAGCACAGAATGGCTTTATCAGGTGTAGTTATCACGTAGTTATATCCCACAAAACTACTCAAATTTACTAGCGTCATAGATAAAAATCGTTTTTCACACGGCGGACAACAGACTCCTTCCGTATTATATTACAATTTCAAAGGAAACCAACAAAACAAAATTAATCTCATTTGCACTGTGATTCAACCAGAAATATAAATACAAATTAGCGTAATTTGGTTAAAATGTTGTGGGTATTGATGGAAAATAAAAATATTTGTTCTTGATTGCATATCGACAATTCTAAGATAAGATGGTTTAGATGGAAAAAAATATTGTTCCGTTTGTAATTATGAGTGCTAAGGGTGTTTGAAGTGATAGTAGGGTACAGAGTTGCAGTTGACAGTGAGTGTCTTAATAGTATCTACCTACCGAGAGTCCATAGTAAAAATTGAGCAAATTTGGTAAGTTACACGCTAATACTTAAACCCTTTGCTGTTGGATTTTTCACATTAAGGGTTGTTCTTTTCACATCAGAGTTACATGTAGGATTACTTGACAGATTAACAAACAATAGCCATGTAGTTTAATCAGCAAGTACCTATAGTTACTTTCAACTTTACTCAGAGGTGAAAAGAATAAGCGAAATTACAGGGTGTCAAAAAACATGTTTATGTACTGATTAACTTTAAATTTGGTAGAATTAATAGTAATATTGTTTTGTAGTCTTAGAACGAATTTGACATAAATCCATTAATGCCAAATTGTCTTAGTAGCCCATGACCTTAAGAAAATGTTCTTAAACTTTTTTGCCTAAAGTTTTTTTTATAAATTTTGGAAATTTACAAGTCAAGACCATTAAAAAAGCTTTAAAACATACCCTCTTGTTCTACTACGATACAATGAACCGTTTCTAAGAAAATCGTCGTTTAACATTTCCAATGTTGATATTTATTATTGTAATAATAAGAAAAATAATAATTATTCTAACGTCGAATTATGGACTGGGCCGTTCCTAGCTGCCGCCCGTGTGCGGACAAATTTCTCTCCCCCCCTTTTCCCTTTTATACCATATGAATTAGTAACATTTTTACCTTAAATAAAACAACAAATTGCAGAAAATATAAGAAATTTGGTTTATTTTTTTGTTTTACAACGGAACGCACTAATAAATTATTAATTTACTAATATAATAATCAAATAAATACATATTTATATACACAAAAATATCTATTAATAATACTTAACAAGTCAGTCCAAAAGCCTAGATAAACTTTGCTTTTCTTGCCTTTTTTTAATGTAAATTCTTTTAAAATATCTGATACATACATCTAAATCTTTCGAAATGCCTTTTTCAATACTGATACGTCTGGGAAGGCGCGACCGAGACCGACTTCAAGCGACAGGCAGCAAACAGCAAATCCGAAAACGGCCTCTTCACTTCTGAACACATGTATATGATTTAAGAAGGTGCGACCGACGATAGCACTTTTAGTGCGGCAATATTTGCTGCAGCGCTGCTGTCGTTTGCATCGATCTCGCGTTTTCAAAGGGTAGCTTAACAATTAAGGTTAGGTAATAGTTTAATTTTAGCTATAACATTTTTAGCTAAGAGTGTTTTTGTTTATTTTTTCTGATTCACTCTCTAAAATTGTGCTCGATAAAGTGTAATAATGCTACTATACATGTGTAATATCTACGGACGAGTATACGGAATATAATTATATAGGTACACGGTATTAGATATCAAATATTGCAAAATAAATTCTAAAAAAACAGTAAACAGTCTTTTACAAAATGTGCATTCAAGAATTTGATACAAAAACTTTCTGTACTGTTCCTGTAAACTTTACTCCTTTTATCTATTTATTTATTTACTGTTTTTCCGTCATACAAAAAGGACGATTCCATCACAAAACAATTCAATTAAAAAAATATTTATGTAAAAACAATTTTAAGCATTTAATTTATTAAATATAATACCAATTGCAAGTTTTTATTTTATCACCCTGTATATATCTTTCAATATTCGTAATAATTGACAAGTACTAAACATAAAATATTGAAAAATAGTAAACATTCTTACAAAAGTTTATTCAATAATCTGTTACAAACTTTTTGTTCTGTTCTTGTATACTTTTATTAATTTACTCCTTTTACCTACCTATTTATTTACTGTTTTTCCCTCGTACAAAAAGGACGAATCCACTATTTCCAAAATATTTTGGGTATTCGATTATAATTGCAAGCAGATGTGCTTTGTCTGTTTTAAGGATAACTACACACAGTTGTTGCTTTATCGATTTGTATAGGTACTATTTATTAAAATTTTATTTTGTTGTATTGTTAGTTTTTGGGTGTGTCGAATTTATTCCACTTATGGACAATTATAAAACGAATAGGTGGAAAGTGATTATTAAAAACGTGGTGAACCATTTTAGAAATAAACCAACTCAATGTGGTGAGTAATGTTTTTTATAACAATCTTTAATTTTTAATGAAAATAACTAGATAATAATGTTCTCTTTTTCCATTACAATATACATCTAAGGAGAAACTTAAAATTTGTAAATATTTACCCATCTTTTCTGTTTCTTATTTTAAAGCATTATTCTAAAAATTAATCTGTGAATAATCCATTGTTTCTTTAAATTAAAACCTTTCAATTTAATTGCTATTTATGAAATTAAATAACAATCATCTAATCATTAATTAACAAATACAGAAATTATAAAATTTACTTTTAAAAGCGGAATTGCAATATAGTCATAGAGTTATGTCAATTTGGCAACACCGAGGTCTTGAGCTTCCGAAAATCTAACATTCTCACCTTTTTTTCGGGTTAATGTTTATGACAGTAAAGAGTCAAGTACGTATTCCATTGAATACACTTCTAAAAATACACTTTGGTTAAACTATTGATTAAAACAACCATGATATGACGGAATACAACTTCGAAGGATCTAAATCGTATCATAATAGTTTAGTCATAATTACCTCCGAATTCGGTGGGAAAATGTACACCGAAAAACGATAAAGGTAAGTTTGGCAACATTGTTAAAAGAACCCATCGAGATAGAAAAAAGTAGAGATGACATAAATACTATTTTGCGATATGACCCATGAACTGGAGTGGGGTAGAATGCTTGTCAATAGGCTTGAGATGCGACTCTATGGGCGAAGACAGGTTATTTTTCATCTCACTCGGGAGTATTTATAACAACCATTTTCTATTTTCTATTGTCTGATCCACCAGCTTGTGGATTGAACAATAACAATGTGAAACAGAAAATGGTTATTATAAATACTCCCGAGTGAGATGAGAAATAAAAATGGCTGCGCCCATAGAGTCGCATCTTGTTTTATTGATATAATATGCACATTGGCTTTCTACCCCACTCCAGTTCATTGGATATGACAGATGGACGTACTTCAAGTGAGAGAAAATGTAATGAAAATGGCGACTTGAGTGATACTTTGATTTCTTTGAAGTCAATAATTTTATATTTGAAAACTAACGGAATGAAAATCATTTTATATCATTTAAATGAGGCTATTTCACAAAAATGGCATTCATTTTCACCAAAACTGACTAGCTCCACTATCTCGAGTTTGACATATGACGTAAAAATGTAATGCAAAGGTGCGGACACTTTAGCATCGTCATAGCATCTCCTCTTTATTATAGGCATTTCTTTATAAGCTTACTACAACATACTTGGTTACAGTATTGTGGTTACTGTGGTGACATTACGCATACCATGGTTTCCCTATTATTGAATATCATATGTCAAATTTAATTTAAGTTTGGGGATTTCTAAACGAAATTTGTATTTTAGAAATTTTAGGATGTTTTGACTTTGTTATTTTTTATTATAGTATGTTCTAGTAAGCTTATAAATAAAGGCATTTCTTTATAAGCTTAACACGACATACTTCGTAACAGCGTTGTGGTTACTCTGATGACGTCAGACATACCGTGGTAACTCGTAGCACTTGTCGTTGTCACATGTCAAATTGGGGATTTGTTTACTTTATTTTTGTTCAGATAAATAAAAGTGTTTTTGTCACAGACGTCATTTGGTTTTCGTTCTTTTGTTATTTATTTAAATATGTCTCCTCCAACAAAAGGAAGAAAAAAATTAATAAGTGTTATTTGTGATGAAATAACAATGATAAATACTTGTGCCAGTAGTCCCATATTTTCATCTTTATATTTCAATATAAATAACAGTATCCAGTGGCCATCGCAACATCGCTCTCGTGAAGAGTTATTTCAGTGCCCTGTATTTCAAATATAATTTCTTTCATAGTAAATAGAGTTTTCTTTGGTAAATACAAAAATGCCCAACCCAAATATACAAAATGAACCATATAACCCGTAACCACAGAAAAATGTATCTAATTTAATATCTTTACAATACTTTGCGCATGCTCGATATGTTTAAATGTGGACCTTACTGACCTTACCACACACCTTACCCCTAAAAACATCATGGTTAGTAGTAGTTACCAAGTATAAAGAACAATACAGTAGCGACAGATTGCGTCGGCTTCTTTGATGTCGGGGTGGTCAGATTTTCAATGACAGTTGACGTTTTTGTCGCTTATTTCTACACGGAGAAAAGTAAACTCTAAAATTGCAAATTAGCGATGTACAATTAGAAAAAAATTAAAACATGTACATATAACATTTTAATGTATTCTAGGCAAATAAATTAATCAAAATATTGTGTAACTTAAATAAATGAGTTCCGGTGAAAATATAGATGTGCCAATTTTAAAATTTTATCATTAGAATAAAATAAATTACTTTTGTATGCCATTCATTGTATGAAATGTGTCAAACAGTTTTTGGTTTCTTCCTGGAACTAATAAATTAACTCAGCACCTTATTTTTTTATTTAAAATGAGGTTATGTAGGTATCTTTTTAGAAGTGAAACAACATATAACAATAATATTTATTAAAACACACAATTACAAATTAGTAAGTTTTTAATGAATTTACAATACAAGAATTATTTTATTTCAATTTTTGTTCCTACGTACAAATTTTTGACTTCAGATGAGTTTTAGCAAATGCCTGTTGTAAGTCACCCGTTAAGCAAAATGCTGCCCAATTGCTTATATTACCTATGTATATAATTAAATACTATTAACGTCACATCATAAAAATTAGATGTTTATATTTAACGATTTTATGGTTTAAAATTTGTATGGGAATGGTTATCTGCTGCGGGATTTAAATATTTAATGGCTAGAAGAATCAACAGTGACTGTCTAGAAAAATTTGTTGGGTCCATTAGGCAACAGGGTGGGAATTTAATTAATCCAATACCTGTACAATTCGAAAGGGCATTTAAAAAACGTTTTTGTCAAAATTATCTTCATTGCAATTCCATGAATTGTAATGAAGACCTGGACAAGCACTTGCTACAATTAGATGTAAAAAATATTGTCTCTCTGTATCCTGAAATAAATAAAAACACTCAAGAAGCTGTTTTTCTTCCTAATTACAGCTACAGGACAAGATATAATAGTTCAAAATCCATTTAAATATGTTTGTGGCTATTTGATCAAAAAAGCTTTAGGCATACATGGATGTGATACATTTATTAAATTTTCAAAAGAATGTGAAGATTTGGATAGTTCACAGATTTTAACATATGATTGCAAATAAAGCACTTATGGAGGCCTAAAAACTCCAAATGAAAAGTTTATTATCTATATATTTAAATTATAAAAAAATGTTATATCTATTTTTAGCAATACCTGTGTAATGTCTGGTATATCCCATAGCTTTTTTTGATATTATGAAAGAAATAGAATTTAATCATCCTTGTCCTAATTTCCCTAACGTATATATCATACAACTGTTTATAATATTATATATATTATTGTTTAAGTGCTTAAATATTGTATAAATGAAACAAATCAAAAATTAAAAACAGTTAAAATAATAACACCACAAAATACATTTTTTTGTTTTCTTTTTGCTACTTTACAAGAAATACATATATATTTTGATTAGATGTAGTCAATCAGAACATTTTTAATCAATGGACATAGTGAATCAAAGAACATCTAATTCATTATAATAATTTGGAGGTAGGATTTTTGATTAAGAATGTCCAAAGGTTGCACATGGTACGCTTTCAAAAATGTCTCGTTCATGTTCAATGATAGTCTCAACAGAGGAAGCACTTGGTCGATGTACTAGGGAGAAGATATACATTTGGCTGATGACCTAGATGGATAAAAAATGTGGGAACAGCAGTAGGCAATAAACGTTTACGGTTCAACGTTTTAGAAAAAAAATTCTTCTCAAAATGTTTCTCACACAACCTGTAATTCCGATGAAGACTGTTCACATCTATGTTACTCAAATCTTCCCTATTACAAGCTCTTAACCACATGTTGGCCCTAAAATATAAAAAAGTTGATAACAAATGTTTAGATTGACGGTAGTTCAGAAATTATATATTTTTTACATTATTTTTGTTGAAATTATAAAAATTGTCCTCAAGACATTTAAATAATAAATATTTGGTTGTCAAATAAATATTTGGTTTTCAAATATAAAAATTGAAAGTATTTTCTCAAGACATACCTTTATGGCTCCATGGGAAATGCAAAATAACTTGTCCCTTTGTCTGTTTACTCTGTTTGAGATGGACAAGGGCGATAGACACATCTCTTTTTTTTCTGATCAGGTGCAGAAGCCATTTCAAAAATATCACACAATAAATGAAAAACTAAAATAATAAAAATGTCTCAAAATATACACTGCAAACAAACAAAAATAATGTCATATTTACATCGCATTGACACTATTGACGTTGACGTTTTTGTCGCTTATTTTCGGACATGCGCAGAAAAATATGGACACCTCATAAAAAATGATCTGTCGCTACTGTATTATTCTTTATACTGGGGTAGTTACGTATTTTGGTAACGTATGACGTCATGGAAGTAACCAAACCGTTTAAAGAATTGCTTTGGTTACATAAGTATGTTCTAGTAAGTTATGGTAAGCTTATAAAGAAATGCCTTAAATGCCTCGTTAGATGTAGCTACATATGCTTTGGTAACATGTAACCAAAGCAGAGTAACCAAACGTTATAAAGAAATGCTCTGGTTACAGAAGTATGTTCTGGTAAGCTTATAAAGAAATGCCTTATATCACAATGAAGGGACCAATGAACTGGAGGTGGGTAGAATGCCAATGTACATGTTATACTATTAGAACTAGATGCGACTCGATGGGCGCAGCCATTTTTATTGTTCATCTCACTCGGGACTATTTATAATAACCATTTTCTGTTTCACATTGTTATTGTTCAATCCACAAGCTGGTGGATCAAACAATAACAATGTGAAATAGAAAATGGTTATTTTAAATACTCCCGAGTGAGATGAAAAATAACCTATCTTCGCCCATAGAGTCGCACATCAAGTCTATTGACAAGCATTCTACCCCACTCCAGTTCATTGGAAGGGACTAGGGGGGCTATTTTCAAACTTAAGAGAATTTAATTCTTTTAAGAGAAATGTCATACGTCAACGTAAATATTTTTAGGGCCCATTGACATATGACATTTCTGAAAGAAATGAGTGCGAGCGCTCCCATACTTTAGAAATAGGTCCCCTGATGAGTGGTTGTAAATCATACACTTACGGTGTTACGTTTGAAATGTACCTCATCGAGCAGAGCGAGTAGATTTTTTGGTCCCGTGACATCGAGCAAACCGTATCAATGGAGCAAACGGACAAAAAAGGGCGATGTCGAGTAAAAAAAGCTGAACGAGGTACTTTTCAAACGCAGCACAGGGGATTATAATACAGAATCGTATTGAGGTAGGTACCTATATCGTATTTGAAATTGGCATAAGTCATTTATTAACACGTTGATTGCCACGTTAGTCCCATATCGGACCAGCTTAAATGAGTTGTCTCAAGCCGCGCTGGTTTTATAGAACCAGCAAGTTTTCACTTAGGTTTGGAGCCGCTGGCCCATTTTATAATGTAAATATGGTGTTTAGGGGACCAGCACGGCCTCAGAGAAGATTTCTACCTATGAGCATGCTTTTTAAATTAATTTTGTTTTGTGTTTGGTTTCCTCGATGGTTCCACTAGTAAATAAAACGATTCAAAATGAAAAACGTATGTATTAAAAGCAAGTATAACCATATTACCAATGACACCAAAAAAATCAAGGGCTAGTAATATTTTGCGCTACTGAACATTATTGTCACGCAAACCAAGGTCAAGGGACCAGCGGCGCCACAGAAGAATTTTACTAGATATTTGCTTACAGGTACCGCGCTGGTCGCATAGGACCAGCATAAAAAAAAACGTAAAAACTTCGAAACAAACAATATTTTTCTTTTAAATGTATGGGAAGTTAATTTATAAGCCCAATAAACTTATAAAATTATAGCCCTTGGGTCTACAGAAAAAAATGTTCTTTTTTGCAGTATGCCACCAACTGTCTACATAAGTTGGCGGCATAAGATATCAAATTTTATGAGTCGTATACGCTTGTCAAAAATAAAGGTACTTTACAGCAAAATTCATATTATTTGACATTCCTTGAATACTATTGTAAAAATTTGATAAATGCTGGTTGCATTTTAAGTTTCAGACCATGCAGAAATTTTTATGAAGAATAACTTTTTTCGAAAAGTTAATAATAAAAAAGTTTCCCATGTGCTGCGAACTTAAGTGGACACACTGAATAATTCACTCATAATTTTCACAGATTGATCCTCTCCTATGTACGCCACTGAACCCACGAGCCCAAATAACTATTACGCTAGTTTAGTGTGATGTCATTTTAGTTCCACTGACATTTAATTCTAACCAAACTTTTAACAAAAACATCAATAAATTTGACATATACGTTTTTACGATTTTTAGTTTATTTCTAAATATTGTTAACAGGTCATAAAAAATAGTTTAAAGGTGGCAACTAAACGATTGTATATGTGATGCATATTATCTACTTACTTTAGGAATCTATTTATAAAAGTGTAAAAACGATATAATTTAGGTAAACAAAACGAACAAAACGCACTCAAAAAATCTACTGTCACTTTAATTGTCAGTGGAACCATAATTACATCATCACTAAATTAGCGTATATGTTGTGACGATTATGATTTAATTAATTTGCAGTGGCGGCTATTCTGTAAGGGCTGTAGGGCTACAGCCCCCCAGTACAATGGAAAACTAACTTACCTATATAAATATAAAATAAAAATGTATTGTTTTATGCCAATACTATTTTTATTAAAAACAATCTATTTAGTTTCGGCTGTTCCAATAATAATCTGGCAAATCCGTCCCTGACGTTCAATATATTTTCTTGTTACTTGTTACGAATTCACTAACGTGGCTGGCCGCAATCAAGGAAGGACTAACAATTGTGTAGTCCTTAATTCGGTCGCACTCGGAGGCCGCAGATATAGAATTTTTATATTCAACAGGTCTACGAAATTTTCTGCCTTAGCAATAATTTTTTTTTATTAATAAATTAACCACAAATTATATTACAATAACTGATAAATAAAAACTCCATTTTTTTATATAAAAAACACATTGGTAGAAAAATAACCTACAATTATTAATAATCGTTATCTCTGCTGTCTTTCCTTTAGATATAATTCAATACCTGTTGAGGTATTAGCCAAAGGAGTAGTTGTTTTTCGAAGGGAAACGGTCGCTCCTATTTTGTTACATAATGGCTTTTGGTTTTATTTTCCTTTTTTAAAAATTGCCAGCATGGCTATTTGGTTCTACCTAGTTTTATAACTGGGTCCATCCCAATACATGTCATTGGTCCATCCGCCCCTGACTTAGGCAATACAACATACGTTGGAGTATGTTTGGTTGCATATTAATAATACAACAGATGGATTTTATTTACTATAATATCGCTATGTAAAAGAAAATCAAAGTATGTGATGTGATCGCTACAGATATTGCGTTCGGTCTGCCAAGTTCCTTTAACTCCTTTAACACTTTTTACTCCAAACGACCCTTTTAGCGTTCGGTTTAGTCCGATTAGTGACAGTTTAACACGCTTAAATGTCATTTAAAAGCACCCTAAAAAACTCCGGTTTTGTCCCGCTCCAGCCCTTGACTATCCGAACTCGCCTAGAGAAGGTCTTACTCATAATAGAGTAAAGGATTTATCAACTTTTCTCAATTGTTGTCGTATAGTCAATAAGAATAAAACAACTTAAAAGCGATAACGTAATAAAAAATATATATAAAAATACAACGGATTGCAACTATGGCCTATGGGGCCATCATCAAGTATTTTTGTATTTATTATATTGTGAAATCAATTATTTTGAGTTGTTTTATTCTTATTTAACTCATTATATTTGTAAAGTCGAGAATATTCATTTATGCTTCCGCCAGCATTTTGTGTTAATGTAATATGAAACTCTTAATTTGTCCTTTTTGTGTTCTAATAGAAATATATATTTATATTAATATTTATAATTTTTTGCGAATCAACCCGCGATTCACTCCAGGCCACACAGGTTAAGTAAATTAGTTTTTTTGACTCTATTTTGATGGACGCTTTTTTAAAATCGCTATTTTCGTGACAGATCCTAAATTAAATATAGTTTTCAAGCATCTCCTTCTATTTTTACGTTCTTTGTCAACGAGAGTGGATAATTACCACATGTTTCTGTTTGTTTCAGGCATCACATCTCCGTTCAAAATGTCGTCACACCTAAAGGACCCAACGATTGCTTCACAAATCAATCACAATCACATCCAAGAACTCAATTTGGATGAGAAAATAAACGCTTATAAAAAAATTATGAACAAAAACAGAACGGAAGTTGAACAATTAAACAATCAAACCAGCATTTCCGATTATTTGAACGACAATACCGACACAGAGAATGGTACAAAAGGTTCCAGGTTAACCTTGCAAGACAACCCGTTCATCCAGAACGATCTTTACAAAGACTGTTCGCAAGAAACGAAAAACTCTACAGACTCGCTTTGTTTAACTGATATTCGTCATGATAATACCAAACACAAACAACCCGTTATGGGAAAGACAGCGTTATTAAAAAAGACAAATTTGGAACACTCTGACTCTTTCATAGTCCATAGTATCATTCTTAATAAATACGAAGATGTTTTGAACCATTATGTCAATAGAATGTATAGAAGGAGGTTGTCCAGAAGGAGTAACTCTGAAGATGAGTATAGCGAAAATTGTACACTTCCTAGGTAAGTATTTATTCGGAAATTGCCCTGCCTAGCTGTAAGATTAATAAGTGAAAATTTACCTGCCTTGACAGCTGTCATAAAAATCTGATGTGTCCAACACATGACTTTCCTATCTAGTTATTATAGGCTTTATAGGCGGTTATTTTGTACAACCTATTGCAGCACCTCCATAAATGTTTAGAGGATAAACTAAATATATACATTTTCCACATACATCTACCTCGAAACATTTTTCTATAGATATTCATTGAAAATGAAAAAACTGAAAAATTTAAATTTAGCACTTTTCCTACAATTTTTCCATTACGGTCCATTTTACAAAAATCATGTATAAACAAAAATTATAGAGATCGATATCGCAAACAACTTTTATTTCAACAATTTTCATAAAAATCGGAATTTTGCACATTTTGTCAAATTTCTCGAATACGAACCATTTCAGGAAATTTTGACATAAAGCAAAAATTATAGATAATAATATTAGCAATAACTTTTATTTGAAGAATTTTCTTCCCCAAACGTAAATAACAGATATATTCCATAAAATATAAAAATGACCACCTATAAACTACCCCCCCAGATGTTCCGACACTGCCCAAAATCAAATCAGCACATTGGACGCTGGAACAAAGCTTAAGTTTGAAATTTGGTGTTTTTCTGTGTATCGGTGCATGAGTTATGCGACACACGCCCACACACACACACAGACAAACAGACAGACATCATCGCGAAAATAGTCAAAACGGATTCAGGGGACCTCAAAACGTAAAAATCCGTCGAAAACTCGAGGTCGAAAAAAATCATGATCCCTATACTTTCCTTATATCTGTATACAGATAGGGAAGTAATAAAATAAGTTAATGTACTAACCAATCGAATAATAAAAATTTATAAATCTTTTTATGAGTTTTAATTTTTTTTTTATTTACCAAATTCAAAATTTAACATCTGTTGTTTTTTTATTTACTTTTACATTATTGACAGTGTGTCTGACAACAGAAACATGTGTTCCAACACAACCAAGTTCCGAATTTAGTCCCAATCATCGACAGGTCGTGGACTGGTCGTCGACAATAAGTTGTGGACTGGTTTGTGTATGCTTCCAAGATTGTTGGAACAAACTGCTATCTACATTTTAAAATTTTAAATATTATTTATCATTATTACAGCTCTGATATACTCACGCTTCACATCGAACCTTCGTATCGCAGTGACAAGTCACGGTTTCAAACTGACTTGTCCTTCAATTTTTAAAAAGTTAACGTGTCGACAAACAAATTTATAAAATTTGAACAAAACCGTTATGCAAGTTTATATCCTAATCGGTAAAGTTTCCGTACTTTTGACACTAGTTATCATACTGTTGTTGTGGTTAAAAAAGAATACATTTTTACCCATTCATCAAGCAGAAATAGGTAAGTTTATATTATATATTATAAACAATTTTAAAAGTAATTAGTATTTAAATTAATTTTAAATTTAAAATAAACGTATCTAAATTACCGACTAATAGATATAGACAATTCGTCTACTTTACACCGATATTCAAGTACTGAAATAAGCTGTTAACAAGAAATTCTGTACGTACAGGGTGTCTGATTAAAGACTTAGTAGCTGTATCTTAGAAACTATGTTTTGAAAAACTATTTATAACAAAGTCAGGCAAGAGAAAATGCTGGAAATTATTTCTTTTTCTATTTTAACCGCTAGAGGGCGTAATTCGCTATGGTAATACAAAAAAATCACTTTTCATCTAAAAATGTCCAATAATAATAATAAAAGAACGGTAATTTTGAACAAATTTTACAAAAGTTTTATCGAACACTATTTGGTCTATTCAATAAAATAACTGGTAGGGGGATTGGAAACCTTAATATAATAAAACTATTATAACTATGGTGCCGTTCATCAGATTTTAAAAAACTTAAGATTTGTTCCAATAGCTAATATGATCAACAGAAGGACGTTAGACGCATGCGCATTGAAAATAGTCCGTTCTTACAAAGCCACGGATAATCCGATAAACTGTCAGTAAAACGTTCCAACGTATTTTCTGATTCGTATTTTAAAATAACATCGTCTCTATCGATACCATGTTGCCTTTTATCAAGGTCTGATTAGGCTGGATTATTGTAATTGGCTTAAGAATATGCTTAATGAGGATGTACAATTTTTATCACATATAATGTGGTTCGACGAATCTACATTTTCCAGTAATGGATCTATAAACAGACATAATATGCATTACTGGTTTAACCACAATTATCATTGGATGTGAGAAATGTTTAATCAAGATCGGTGGTCGGTAAATATGTGGTGTAGAATTTTAGATGGTAAAATTATAGTTCACACTTAGATAAAATAAGAGTTCACAGTAACAAAACTACTTATATTAAAATAATTATAACAAAACCTCATCAACTAGATCAGTGTTCGCCAACCTCTCAATGTGTTGAGCTACTTTGTTAATTTTGGAATAAACAGCGAGCTACCCACACGGAAGCCACGTAACGCAACGTAAATGAAATAATCCACAGTTAATTTATCATTATATGTATTTATTTTACTATTTAACTGGTAATACATAATACATAGGTACTAATAATAAACTAATAGCAAAATAACTAATATTACTAGTACGTACTTGTTCATAGCTACATTCCTACCTACTAAACAAAAATAAACACAAACTTTTATCCAGCCACAACGGCATGTCACGTAAGATTTAAAAATAGTTAATAATAACAACAAAAAAGTAACGCACTATCATGAACATAAACATTGAAAAATAAAAAAGCACGTTCAATGAGAAGGCTGACACTCAGACTCATTGATAATTTTTTTAATGTTTACAGTATAATTTGATACAGCCATTCGAATACAATTATCCAAATGTTCATTAGTAAGTCGATTGCGATATTTGTTCTTAATAAACTACATATTGGAAAAAGAAGATTCACACAAATAGGTAGAACTGAATAATGCTTTCACTTTCAAGGCAACACGGCATAGAACTGAATATTTGTCTTTACTTACAATAGGCCAGATACATTTGGTACTTAAGACTAACGATTTTAAGGCTAAATCATTTTGAAACTCAATTACTTCCATTTCTGTTGCAGCGATGTCTTCGCCAAAGTTCTGCATAACACAAGTTGCAAACTGTTGGATATCAACAAACTGCGCTACTAAAGCCATTTCGTTGAAATCCTTAAAACGATTTTTTCTTCAGGGTAGAAGCTATTTCTACATGATATTTGCTGTCATAGGGTTCTAATATATTTTGAGATATTTTTTCTGAAAGAATAGGAAAATGCTTGGCATCGCTGTTAATTAGGTTTTGTTCCCAAAACTCCAGCTTTTTGATAAATGCTTTTATATCAGAAATCATTTCCGCTAGTTCTTTGTCTCTCCCGTGAAGCTGTAAATTAAGTTCGTTTAATTTCTCTGTAATGTCCACGAGAAAACCAAAATCTCTAAGCCAGATTGAATTTTCTAGTTCCGCAGTCGGTTCATCGCGTTGTTTGAAAAATCGAACTATGCCAGATAGGTCAACTTCATCGGCCAAGGTTTTGAATAATCTTCTTTGTAACGCTTGAGCTCTCATCTTGTTCACAATTTTTACCACCAGTGTTATAACGTTGTTTAGTTTCAGGAAATTTCCACATAATGCTTGCTGATGGATAATGCAGTGGTAACAGAGAAATTGCGGAAAAGTTTCATCTTTACGACATAATGCCACCAGACCCTTATCACAAACCACCATAGCTGGAGCGCCATCGGTTGTCAAGCCTACCATTTTCGATATTGGAATTTTCTCGGAAGAAATAATATTTTTTAAATGAGAAAACAATTCCTGTCCAGTAGTGTGTCCTTTCATTGGAATAAACTTCAAAAAATCTTCTTTAATCGTAAAATCACTAAAAACCATCCTGACGAACACGGCCATCTGGGCAGTGTCAACGACATCTGTTGATTCATCCAGTTGAAGTGAAAAATAAACACAGTTACCTAAGTCAGTTCTTAACTGTAAAAAAAATATCATTGCTCATTACTTCTACACGTCTCATCACTGTATTAGCAGAAAGTTGCACAGATTTTATAGCTGAAACTATCTCGTCTTTATTTCTAAAGTTGGCAAATAACGAATTAGCAGCTTCTAAAAACATACATAAAAATACAAAAACATGAGGTACTAAAAAAACCTCTGGGTCCTCAACACAAAACCAGAACTTTTAGTAACTTGAATATTAAAATATCTATGCCTAATAGTGAATCTTTCAAAAATTGTATAAAATACTTAGGACCAAAGTGTTACAATGCTTTACCTCCTGAGATCAAATTAATTAACAAACAACATTTATTTAAGAAAGCGTGCAAATCCTTCATCTACCAAAACTACTCAAAATTGTATAGATTCTTCTTAGAATAACACACATCTCACTGTAATATGTTGGAACCCTGTAGATTACAAGATTATAACATTATTACATATTATATAATATAACATTGCTGCCTTATTACATTTAACATTTATATAAAAATACATTAACTTTATATTTTAGTTTTTTAATCTTTATGTATTAGTTTTTTAGTCTGTCTAGCACATACAGGTGCCCCACACCTAGGTGCTAACTTATTTACCTATGATTAATTTATAATTTGTTTATTGTTGTAATTAATCATGTTATTACTATAATTAATCCTGTCATAAATAAATTGAAATTGAAAATTGTATGGGACCCTACACAACAAAATTTAAAACAAATTTTGGAAAAAAAAAAAACGCCTGTTTTATCATTTCCCCGTCTTCATAAGGTTTCTTTTTTTGTGCAATTATCTGGGACACACGGTACGATGCTTCAGTTGCAGCATTATTTTTGTCGACTGTTCTTAAAAATATTGATTGTTGTCCAATTAATTGCTTTTTTAACTGTTTCAGTTTCTCCTTTCTGGCGACAGAATGTAGGGGGAATGATTTTTCAAAATTAGAGTGTACA